GCAGCTGCCTCAGGGAGACATGCTGTTGTTCTGGGACTTGTTGAATAGATTACTACTTAACTGTATCGGATCTAAACTGTTAGAAGCTGGAGAAGTGTCAGAGTGTATAGGTGTACTAGAACAGGAACACTGTATGCAAGTGTGCTCACGAAAAAATAACTAACGGCTTCTATAAAAACTTTCTGGGCCTGTTTTTTCAGCTACAGGGGGGATATACTTCATTGCTAATCACATAAAATAAACAATCAAGGCAGCATTCACTTTTTACTCTTTTAATTCTGAAATATGCTAAAGGAATATTGTTGTTGGGATTAGCAGACCAGGGCTCCATCTAGCCCAACAACCCATTTCCAAAAGCGGCCAGTACCACCTGCTTCATAAGGTAATGGTGTACACTGGGAAAATGTGTTTAATGAGAGCCCCTTCCCAGTCCCAGTTGGCTTGGTCTTATGCCCTGAAGCAGAAGGATTTGCAATCCTTCCAGATCTTAGTTTTCTCCTGCCTAGTGCTAACTGATACATAAATAAGGCTTAATATTTGAATTAAAAAATGTTTCATCAATTATTAGTTGTACAGAGAACAGTCCTGTGTCTGGATCTCTGTGTGTGAGGCTTTCTTGGAGCTTTACAGAGGTTTGCTTGTTCAGATATGATTCCAAGATCAGGGCCTTCAATATGAAACCTGAAAGAAATTCTAAGCCTGTCATCTACTTTCATTGTCGATTTTTGTTTTGTTAATTCTTGTACTTTCAAGCTCCGGCAGTTGAGCTCAACTAGTTGGTTTGACTTCTTCCCACTTTTTAGAAAATCATTAAATACTAATTTACCATCTTGCCCTTTTCCAACAGGGAGGGGTTGTAGGACTGTAAAGGCAGACTTTTTAAAATGCTTTTAGTCCTACTGATTCCTTTTTTAAATGCCTAGTGTACAGTCCCAGTCCCCACATAGTATTTCTGTTCCCTTCTCTAGTGTCTCTCTCAAACAGTTGGACCTGTTCCTGTTGGATCCGTCTGCTGTCTCACTGAATTGGTGCTTTCAGTGGAATGCAGTGAGCAGCTTTGCTACAGAGGTCTGTACTGAAGAGGATGTAGTTCCTGATTTACTTCCTCTCCCTGCAGGTTCCTAACATCATCAAGGCCTTGCACAAGCAGCTCAAGGAGAAAAGCATTAAATCGAGGCAAGGGTGCTTCAGCCTCCTGACAGAGCTGGCCAACGTTCTCCCCGGCTGCCTGGCAGATCACATCCCTGCGTTGGTGCCTGGTAAGGCTGGCTCCTGGGTTGGGGGTGTGCCATGGGGACATCTCATGTTAAGAACAACCCTGTTCCCATTCTGTATCGCGTCTAGGAGATATATATGCATCGCCTGCTTTTTTTTTTTTTTAAATTTATTTCTGGATATTTTATATGTGCTAAAGAAACAAGGGCCACTCCTGCTCCTGTTGAAGTTTAGCTGGAGTTTTGCTAGTGACTTTGGGGTCAGTATAGAGATCGGTGATATAATATTTTCAGTCCTTTTCTGAACTTTGGTGTGTGGTTTTCTTGGGGTTTTTTTTGTTTGTTTGTTTTTAAATGGAGAGGGTTTTACGTGCAGACCTGTAACTTCCTTACCTGACTTTCTCTCCCTGTAGATCAAAGGTATCTAACTTGCCCAGCCCAGTGGGCTGGATGAGGGGCATGGGGCTGGCTTGTAAGCTGGGATCAGGCCCACAGATCGGCCCCATGCACTGGATCCTGTGCACAGGGTTGGTTTGTTGCAGGCACCATGTGCAGCACACACCCTGGACCAACCTCACATGTTGCTTATGGCACACAAGGCCCAGAGGTCAGATCCTATGGCTCTTTGGGCTGTATCTGTGACACCCCTGCTGTAGAGCAGTGAGAGGTGCTCATCCAAGTAAGGTTTGAAATACCCAGCTGTAAGCTCCTGCCTTGCCCATATGCTTGATCTCACTGTAGATGTTTGGGGAACTCCCTCGTCAATTTCCCATGGCTTTGATCATCCTGGGATGCTGATTCCCATATGTTTACAAGAGGCTGCAGAGAACATACAAAAGCAGCAGCCATTTTTAATTGCTTTGGGAAGGAAAGTAGAATCCTTGCAAATAGCTTTTCAGATGGGCCCTCTTTTGAAAAACGTAAAGATTATACAAATCGGAGGTGGCAAAGACCCCTTATATTTTCCAGCCCGTTTCCCGGTCAGTGGGTGCGTCTACACCAGATACTTTTCTGCACAGTCTATACATGCACACGGTGTGCAGTAAACTTCACTAATCGCAAGTAAATTTTGCTATCTGCAAATGCAAGTAGCAAATTTTACTTGTGATTTACTTACTGCACAGTAGCACTTGTGTAAATGCTGCCTGACCAGGGAAAAAATCTGCCTCTGGCCTGCTCTCTCCAGGGGGGCAGGAGATTGTTCTCTGCCCCTGAGAGCTGTCTGCTGCCGGGGTGGGCTCCAGTGGCAAAGCCCGGGTGGAAATATGTCCCCCTGCCCTGGCAGCAGGGAGCTCCAAGCCCCCTGTTCTGAGACTGCAGTCGGGGAGTGGGGACTGGGAGATCCTCATCTCCCAGCCCCTGCTTAGTCATCATGGGCAGGGGGGCTCCACTTCTCTGCAGGTGTGGATGCCTGCCTGGGAATATTTACTTTCAAATACAGTAAAAGCTTTGTTATCCGGCACCCACAGGGAATGGAGGGTGCTGGATAAGAAAATATGCCGGCTAACTGAACGGCCTGAACAGGCGTCTTTGCAACCAGATTACAACTTCTGGTGATCAGTGAGGTGAACTATGGAAACTACTTTGATTGTATCCAGTTATGTTAGAATTGTTTTTTATCTCTTGCTAAAACTGTTGTGAAGTGCTAAAATGGTAAATGCAGTGTCTTCCCTGCACAGGTATTGTCTTCTCTTTGGCTGATAAGTCTAGCTCCTCCAACATGAGGATTGATACACTGTCTTTCCTTCACGTTCTTCTTTGCAACCACCAGCCAGAAGTATTTCATCTTCATATTAAGACATTGGTTCCTCCAGTTGTGACTTGTATTGGAGACCCCTTTTATAAGATCACTTCAGAAGCTTTGCTGGTTACTCAGCAGCTTGTGAAAGTCATCCGGCCTTTGGACAAGCCTGGTGCATTTGATGTTAAGCCGTATGTGAAAGACCTTTTCTCTGGGACTCTAAAGAGACTGAAAGCTGCAGATATAGATCAAGAGGTGAAAGAACGTGCTATTTCTTGCATGGGGCAGATTATTTGCAATCTTGGCGACCATCTCAGTAGTGATCTCCAGTCAACCTTGAAGATATTTCTAGACAGGCTTAAAAATGAAATAACCAGACTGACAACAGTCAAAGCGGTAACCTTAATTGCTAGTTCTCCACTTAAAATAGACTTAAGACCCATTTTAGGGGAAGGCTTCCCCATTCTAGCTTCCTTCTTGCGAAAGAATCAACGTGCCTTGAAACTGAGTACCTTGGCTGCTCTGGACATCTTGATTAAGAACTACAGTGACAGCCTCAAGCCAGCCATGATAGAGTCTGTTCTCACAGAGCTTCCTGCTTTAATTAGTGAAAATGATATGCATGTTTCCCAAGTTGCTATTGTGTTTCTTACCACATTAGCTAAGGTTTATCCATCATCCTTATCCAAGATAAGTGGCTCGGTTCTTTCTGAAATTTTCCAGCTCGTCCACTCCCCTTTGCTACAAGGCGGTGCATTGAATGCCATAATAGACTTCTTCCAAGCTCTGGTTATAACAAAGACAGCCAGCATGGGCTATACAGAACTGATGAAGCAGCTGATTGGTCCTATATACTCACTGAGTTCTGCTGGGGCATCTGTAACTTTACATAAACAGGCTTATTACTCTGTAGCAAAGTGTGTGGCTGCCCTTTCAACAGCCTGCCCAAAAGAAGCCGCTGGGGTAGTGAACCAATTTATTCAGGATGTGAAGAGTCCCAAGTCCAGCTCAGCTGTTAAAATGCTGGCCTTCCTGTCCCTGGCAGAGATGGGGCGCACCATGAACCTCAGTGCTCAGAAGGAGCTCAAAATGGTCATTCTGGAAGCTTTTGCTTCTCCCAGCGAAGAGGTGAAATCAGCAGCTTCCTATGCTCTTGGGAACATCAGCGTTGGAAACCTTAAGGAATATCTTCCCTTCATGCTGAAGGAGATTGGAAGCCAGCCCAGGAGACAATACTTGCTACTGCATTCTCTAAAGGAAGTCATCAGTTCTTCCCCAGCGGATGGCCTGAAACCTTATGTGGAGGATATTTGGGCTCTGCTTTTCAAACACTGTGAGTGTGCGGAGGAAGGGACACGCAATGTGGTCTCGGAGTGCTTGGGGAAATTGACTTTGGTGAATCCGTCTCAGCTGCTGCCCAGGCTGAAAAAACAGCTGTCATCAGGTAATGGGAAAGACGAGGCTTGGCATGGTAAAAAGCTAGGGCATACTCTGTTGCTTGATCACCTAGTGAATTAATTTCTTTCACTGTTTTCGTATGCTACAGTTTGTGTTTCTGAGGGAACAAAGCCAGGCTGGATGGAAAGATCAGTATTGGGAGGTTAACTGTGGAAGGAGCAAAGGAGCATAAAGTTGCATGGTGCATAGTATTAAGGAGAATGTAACAGGGACACAGAATCCAGCCGTGTGATGTGATCCAATCCTTCATCTTCTTATACAAAAAGAATCTTTCTCCTGTTTCTGCTGAATAGCTCATTGTCTAGTACAACTGTGTAAAGTGCATATTGTACACGTGTTCTTGCACTGTACTGTGTACACTTCTGTCTGGTCTCTTATCCCCTTTTTCCATCTCTGCAGGTTCCCCGCATGCACGAAGCACTGTCGTAACTGCAATCAAATTCACAATTTCAGATCAGCCTCAACCTATAGACAGACTTCTAAAAGGTTGCATAGGTGAGCTTTGGTTCCAGTAGAAATCCTGGTTAGCTGTGAATGTTGGCATGTTGTCAGCGACTCTGTAGCTGATGTCGTTTGTTTCATAAGTAAGATTTTTGTCAAATCTGTTTGATCCGAATAGGGTTGTTCATCTGTGTTTCTTTGCACTACAATACCAGTGCGGAATTCTTGCTACAAGTCCCATGTGAAATGTTTTTGACTTCCTCTTTCACTCAATAGAAACATTACATTTAGAGAAGAATGAACTCTTCTGCTCTTCCATTTGGAGCTCTCCTAGGACCTGGGCTTCACAGATACACACCTTGTAAAATATGTTTTCAAGTTCAAACACCCATATGCCTGATGGAGTATGCCTTTCTGTTCCAGAGAATCAGACAGCTGAGCAGCAAGAAAAATATTTTGTTTACCTAATTTTGTCTTTTAAGTCAAAATGAGAAGTCACTGGTGGCTACCATCACATTGGTATTTCTATACCCAGGTATAGCCCGTTTCAGATTGTTTAAATAGTACCCTGCAGATCATCTAAATGTATCACTATACACAGGTTTTGACTTAGTTGTTTTAAAATTATTATATACAAAATATTTTTCACAACCATACTCCTTGAAATACATGATGTTGCTTTCAAGACCAGAAGTTAGTAGATTTTGGAAAACAGCTACAACACTGCCTTTGGTGCCATCTATCTGACGATGTGCCTTTATCCCGCAGGAGACTTCTTAAAGACACTTCAGGATCCTGACTTGAATGTCCGGCGTGTTGCTTTAGCCATGTTTAATTCTGCTGCTCACAACAAGCCTTCGTTAATCAGAGACCTGCTGAACACTGTCCTACCCCACTTATACAATGAAACTAAAATCAGAAGGGAACTTATACGGGAGGTATGTTACTAACTCTGCTGTCTCTTGAGTTCTGTATGTCAAGGTCCCAGTTATCCTGGAGATGAATGTGCTGTGATGCTCTTATGAGTAAAGAGTTGGATGGAATTCTCAGGGCTTGGATGAATGGAGAGAAAACCATCTATAAGGCATTACATTTGTAGGCTAGTGCTCATGAAGGGAGACTTTCATTACTGGATTAATCATCAGTAATTTTTTTTTTTTCTCTTAAGGTAGAAATGGGGCCATTCAAACACACCGTGGATGATGGCCTGGATGTGAGGAAAGCTGCTTTTGAATGTATGTACACACTGTTGGAAAGCTGCCTTGACCGACTGGATATCTATGAGTACTTAAACCACGTGGAGGATGGACTGAAGGATCACTATGACATTAGGGTAGCTGATCAAGTGTATTGGAAATAAATAGTTTTGATGTTATTTACTGAACTTAGTGGGATTTAGGCAAATAGGTTGGGCCAGGCATGTAGCTCCTATTTTTTTGTGCTGCCTTTTTGTTCTTTGGGTGTCTTGGCTTTTTTTTAAATTCAGTAGATTCAGCTTTCTAGTTTTGTTGCTGATGTGGCCTTGAAAACATGACCTTAGGCTAATTGATTCAGTGATGTGTGCAGAGGCTTACAAAAACCCAAAACAATAATTCTAGAAGGTGTGGGCTCCTTTGTTAATTTTGGTAGGCACTAACTGAGGTGCCCTATGACAGTGTTTGAACTATCAGTATTGTTCATGATTTTGCTGCTCATTATGGCTTCTAAGGCAGTACAAATATGCCAGCTTCTAAACTGATGTTTTTGTAATACAGAAGCTCTGTACAGAGCAGCTCTGAGAAGGAAGAATCCTGAAGATACGTCATCTCCTATAAATGGCATCTCATGTTTGTGGTTTCCCTATATCACTACCTTTTACTAGCTTATGTGCACATGCACTTTGCCCATATACATGTGTGCACGCACATATGTGTGTACACACACACTCAGAATTAACTTGTGCAGGGGGTCTGACTTTTTTATAGCAACAGCAACTGATGCAGAGCAAAGCTACACACTCCTTTGCCTCATAGTAACTTGTTTGTATGCCCATGCCTCTTAGTCAAACAACTCCTGTCAAAAGTTTATAAAAGGTTTGCAGGAGGGTCCTTAGGCCTGGCAGGATTCTGTTTTCTAGATCTGCATTGTGCATTCATTAACACAGTGCAATTCATCATGTAATTTGTCCTCTAGAACCTTAGCTTTTCCTTTTAGCTAACTCAGTGTTTTATAAGCACAAAGCAACCCATCCATGTAAGAACAGCAGGAGGTGGAGCAGTAATTTCTGCCCAAGTCTACAAACAGTATGTAGCTGCAGGATGTGTGCACCAGGGAGGGTTCTGTGCCTTTAAGCTTGGGAGAGTGGGACCTGAGAAATCTCTTTTTTTCCAACCTCTTCCTCCAGATGCTGACTTTCATTATGCTGGCTCGACTCTCCACCCTTTGTCCTAACGCAGTTCTGCAGAGGCTGGAGCGGCTGATTGAGCCACTGCGAGCAACCTGCTCTACTAAGGTAAGACTGTGAGATTGCTGGCCCACAGTTAAGAGTGGAGGAGGGAGAGCTAGTGCAGTGCTTTTGTGTGTAGCTGGTGTTTTTCAGGAGGTGGGGAGTCTAGCAAGCCCCACTGCCTATGATAATCAGGTCTTAATACCTGCAATAATTTTACATTTTCTGTAACAACAGGAACACAGCAGCTTTCTGAAATGTGTAGTGCTTCACCCTGGTCAGATCTTGCTAACAATGGGCTGTTTTGGTTGCATACAATATTTAAAATGTGTTCTGGAATGGGCTTTTCTCATAACAAGGGTTGTTGAAAAAACAAATTGTGCATCTCGTGGGTGTGTCTACCTGTGTACTTTAATATGCATTAGCCTATTTTAATGAACATTAAGGCATCTAAAGAGTGCTCTTTAGTTAATGTACATTAAGACAAGCTAATGCACATTTTCTTAGTACTCCACATTAAGAAAATGCAGTACTAGATTTAATGTAAATTAACTAAAGTGCATTAATGCATGTGTAAATATGCCCCCCATGCATCTCCAGGGGTCTTGAAGTTAAAACTCTGAACCTTCTTTAGTGTAACAGCCTGCTGGCTTTCAGCCTTGAAGTTTGAAACCTTTCAAACTTGTTTTAGTTTTGAGACTTCCATTGTGTGTCTAGTCTGGAGAAAATGACTATAAAATGTAGGGTGGAGGTGATGGGGGCATATTTATGGACTTTCAGTGATTTTTCTACATCAAACTTGTGCAGTGACCAAGTGGAAAGGATAGGCTTTCTAATTCTCAGCACTGACAACTGTCTGTGTTTGGCACTTCCTGGTTTGCCACGTTGCGACCTGTAATCAATTTTCTATAATCAGAATGAAAAGTTTTGCTAGTGTGTTTGGAACAGCAGAATGCAGCTTATTCTTCCTGCTCCTATGTGAGCTCTCCATAGGTAACCAGACTGGTTTTGCAGTGCGTGGGATGCTTGTATCAGGCACTACTGTATACTTTTATAGTGATGAGGCATTTTAAAAGCAAGCCAGGAACAAGCAACCCTAGCTGTTAGCATATAATGAAGGCCAGCTTCACTTCAGATGAAGGGATTAGAATTGAATTCATGAAGACACAT